AAAAAAAAACACAAAGAGACTAAAAAAAAAAATCATTTCTTTAATTATAATGCATTTTTAACATCTTCTAATTTTTAAAGCATTGAATATTTTTGCTGCATCATCATATGGAAAATGTTCTACATCTACTTTTTCATCAGCTATTTTCATTAGGTTGCTCAAATGCGTATTTGTTTCGTTTTGATCGTTTCTACCCACATTTGTTTCATTTTCATTTGTCTGTTTGTGAGTAGAAGATATTGGCTTTACAAGGTATTTGTCCATCTTACATTAACGAACAAAAAATTTCAACATCTTACATGAAGAAACCTTGCCTACGGTAAACATGTGGTTGCAGAGAAATACGTTCTGAAAGAGGTTCCGTGGTTCGGAAGGATGGTGTTCTGTTGTTCTTAAAGGTTCTGAACAATACTGGTAAATAGGGAAGCTAGATAATGGGGCAGATGTTGAAAATAATAAAAGATCCAGGAAGAAAAGTGAAACGGATTTTATCCTAAATGGCGCAAATGAGAAAATTTTTTCAAATTGCGAGAAATTCACGAATTTCGAAATTGGTTTATAGAATGCGCGAATTTCTCGCGGTAATCATTTTTTAATGCGAGAATATAAAAAAATATGCGAGATTCTCACGCTGTAATGAAAACACTGCCTCATTTTCAGTTATCTTGAATATTACTCTAATTTAAAATTCCTATAAATAGTAGACTTCTTTTGCTTAAAGATTGTAGGCTGAATTACATTGCTTGAACAACAAGTTTCCGAATGATAACGAGTTTTTGCAAGAAGAAAATGATATAAAGCGTAATTCTTTTCAGCATAATTGATAAGAGAAGTAATTGAACTTCATAGTAAGCTTGTCAAGAAAAGTAAGATTGATATGGGATCAACAAGATGTGCATTCTTTTGAAGTGTTGACAGGATTTCTAAAAGTAACCAAACTTTTCTTTTTTAGGAAATATATAATTTAGCTGTTGGTTGCCTACACATTACTTTATAAAGATGGGGGTTAAAATTACAAGAAGGAAACTATGTTTTTTTTTCTGTATTGATACCGGAAATAAATAAAAATATCTTTAAACTTTTTTTATATTATAGTACGCACTTAAAATTTATAGCAAAAGGAATTTATTTCCCTTTAGCAATTTTGTTGTTAAAATGGAAGGTTGGGGATTTTATTTTTTAAATTTTTTTTTTTTGTTTGTTTTCTTAATTGTTGTATTTTTGTTGTTCATATAATTGAGTTTCTACTCTTTATAAATGATAATAATTTTAGATTATAAAACTAAACTGAACTCAGTGGCACGACAGCCCATAGAGGGCCAAGGCCTACTGTGCCCATCTCAGTTTTCTTGAACTTGGGCTCTGGGGTGCAGGAGCAGATTTTCTGGTTAGGTGGTCAGCCGAACGTGAAACCCCCAGTGTTTAGTTCCGAAGCATGCTTGGTACTCATCTATCGGCCCACTGAAGGGATGAAAGGCTAAGTCAACCTTACCCAGCCTGAGGATCGAACCCAAGACCTGTGGCATGGGAGCGTGAAATGCTACCACTCAGCCACCGGGTGTTGTTTTTAGATTATAAAAATAATTAAAATGAAGTACTCCATTTTAATTAAAGAGACTGAAAATTTATGACACTAACCTGATTTATTTTCATTTTTTACTGTTTTCATAATGAACAATAATATTTTAAACACATTTGCCGCAGTAGGGCTGTGTGTATCATTTCCTTCTTATTTGCATTAAATTTTTTTTTGAGTGTTGCCATATCTGTTTACACGATCTTTGGCTGAATTAATTATTTTAACTACTTTTGTTAATGTTTCACTTGGAGTATGGAGCTCTTCACATAATTGCAAGATATAATTTCTGTGACTAAGTTCCTTCTTTCCAGTCAATTCTTCATATAAAATTAGTACATTTACTGAAGATATATCTGAAATTATAAAATATTTCGATAAAGACATGTTATAGCATTTCCTAGAAATTATGAATTTCTGTGTGATAGATATTATGAAAAACCTCCGGGCTAGTCTAGCCCTTACTAACATTGTAGGTATAAGTTTACTTAAGTTCCTATGAGGTAAATATCAAAATAATTAAACAAGTATGCAGCAAATGGAATCATATCGTGAAAAAGCAAAAAATTTATTGCTCTTAGTTAATATTTTAATTTATTGTACATATAAGAAAAGCCACACAGACCCTTTTCTTTTCTATTATAATTTTATCAGAATTATATTAGTGTATGTATATATTTATATACACTTGGGTGACAAAAGTCATGGGGCAGGAATATGCAAACATAGAGATGACATGAGGCATGTCATCTCAAAGTAATATTGCATACAAGATGTATATAATGGTTCCTGTAAACTATTTGGTCCCCTTGGTGGTCAGTGGGTGTAAGCACTGAGGAAGCAATGCTGAAGTCACACAAGCACTTCTTCCACATACAAAGTTCTTTTTATCTGGAGGACTTTTTGTAGCATATAAAGCATGATTAAAATTATCTTAATGTACTTGTTTATAATATTGAAAATTAAATTTATGTCTTGTATTTCATATCTGATTATATTTTTCGTTTTTCATACACACCGCTGTCTACAGTTCCCAGGGTAAACTTAATTTTGAAATTACCTTCATAATATACATGTTTAAACTATTTATATGTTGTGGTGGACAAAATTCATTTAATTCTTACTTTTAAATATATTACTATGTTATCTTTATTACCAAAAGAAGTAGTAATTCCTTTAATTTATTATACCTATGTGTGTAAGCGTGTGGATTAGGTTTAAGTCCAATCTATATCAGTCATGCACAAATTTGGAAATGAAAATTTTAAGTTTTTGAAAATATTCAGACTTTTTGGTAAAATATAAAGTAGGAGAATTTCTTACCTACAATTGTGATTTTAAATATTGCTAATTGTGCAAATTTTCTTTAACATATATATCTTATATGCTGACCGGACTAACTGACCTTACATCAGAAAGGTCCTGGGTTTGAATCCTGAACAAGGCAGGGATGTTCTTTCATTCTCTTTGTACTATCTTTCTTTATTGTGGGAGCAACATTGGCTCACGTAATTTGGCCTTCCTGAAAGAGTAGCCAACAAACTCGCCCTATTGATACCTGAATGACGAGTGCCAATCAGGTGGGCGTAGGAAAAAATATTTATATATATCTTAATATACACTATCATTAGTTTATCTTGCATTCAAGACATTTTGAAATTATTTGACCTAGGCATAAGCAATTATAAACACATAATTTCTTCATTTTTTCTTATTCAAAACATAGCAAAATAAATTATGTAGTTCTATTATAAAATCTAATAACCAATCAAATTTTTAACCTATAAATCTAGTGTGTTTCTACAGAAATGGAATGTTCTGAAATAATAAGTTTAGCATTTTATCCAGGAGGTGAGAGATTAAAAAATTTTCTTAGGGATATATTTGTGGAATATGTGCATTTTATATGACCTAGGATATAGAAGCTCTCTTTTTAAATGAAAGTAAAAAAATATTTCTGGAATATGTTTTAAGCTGAATTCCACTTGCCTGGAATTGTTTAGCTCAAAATGTTATATTTTATTTGAACATATGATCTATGTTTAATGAAATAGGAGTTCATTAAAATTTTTTAAAAAAAAGTCTGATCAGGTTCTAATGCTTTCATTTCGTTTGTAGTTTCTTTAAGAACATTAGATCTGATCAAAATCACTCAGTTTCTTAGTGTTTCAATTTTTGCTGTGTTCTCTTCTCTTAAGGAACTTGGGATAAAGAAACATAAACTTCTTATTGCAGTGTTTTTCTCATGGAAAATATTCATATGTATTATCAAGAAATGATGTTCCCATTATAGCCACTGCTTTTTTCTATTTATTCAGGAAGAAGTAAATGATGGTGGCAATCACATGAAGATATTTCAATTGACTCTTGAAGTACAATTGAATAACAAATCCATAATGCTCATTTGTAAAAGGAAATCCTTCTGTATAAAAAGTGAAGCAAAAAATTTGTGTAGCAAAATGCATGGCCCGTTTGCCAAAATTCAATAGGTTTTCATTGAGTATAAATCGTTTATATCTATGTATGTGTGTATATAGATACATATATATCATAGCATGTTATTCATGCTATATTTGCTTATGTGACTACTGTTTCAAGCATTCTAAGTTGGTTTTAGACAAGAAATATGGGATTTATCGTCCAAAAACCTGCTGAAATGTCTGCATTTATTATTCTGAATGCAGAATAAACATTTTTAACTCCAATGCAATCACTATGCATTGATTATATAAATGCAACTGTATTTTTTCCTGATATATTGTTTTCAGTATTGGTTTGTTATTAATTGTAACCCTACTATTCATTGTATTTTTAAAATTATGTTAATAAATTACAAAATACATAATTTCAAAGATATATTGCATTAACTCAAATAACATTTATAAAACTTTATATTATTTATAAATTAGAAAAGGAAAAGAAAAACATCTCTAATTTCTCTAAATTTCAATTATTTAAAGAGAATGAAAGTTTTTATTTTTTTCAACCATATCCCTGAATAAAAATTGCTGTTTTTTTCCCCCTCATAATTTTTGCCGTCTTCCTAATTGTCTATGATTTTTTACTTAGAATCAATATCTAATTTTTGACGATTTAAGACAGGTTATGATGAATCAACTATTTTCAATCAATTCTTTTACACAAAAAATATTGTAAAGGTTTTTAGACAGAATGGTAAAAACCATATTTTTACCTTGGGTTGCATCATTCTGTCCCAAACTTTGCCAACTCTGACTGTATAATTATTCAGTAGTGTATATTTTATATTATTTTCTAATTTTAAATAAAGACTAAAATTCATTCATTTTACAGTATGAACGACAGAAGCCTAAATTTCCTTGGGGTGGCATACTTTTAGCTATATTTCTTCTTGTTGCTGGTACTGTGCTTATAGTTTTCTCCTGCCTTCTATTTACTGGACATATCAGTGGCTCTGTAAGTATTTACACAAATATATCATTGCTTACAATCTTTTCAAGTTTATTCTATTATTATCATTGATGATCTGTGATCACTGCAGAGACTTTATGAATGGTGTTGTCAATATAAATTTAAACGGCAACAATCTCTAACTCTTGACCTGCTCTACTTCCCATTAAAAAGTATACAGCTGCTTACTACAGCCTATTCTGCAAAGCGTTATTTTCAAACAGATAATTTTTTTTTTTAATAAACGAAATAAATTATATAATTTTTGAGCTCAAGTCTGCTGTAATTCATAAGACATTAATGAAATTAACTAATTCTGGTGAGTTTGAAGTGAACATTTGTTTTAGTTATTTATAGTTCGATTGTTAAAAAAAGATGACATAGTTGCTAGATTTAGAGGGAACTCGCATTTTTGGCAGTCCCAACTTGGCCACTTTTTCTTGTTACAAGCCGTGCGTCATCATATGTTGGTGTTAGCATATTGTTCGAGCAGAGAAATTAAGTTCAATTTACAAATTATCGTTTAGGATTAAATTTTGAAGGTTTTAAATTGTTGACAAGGTAAGACATGTTTTATAGTGATTCTTTTTTTTTTTTTCAAATGACAATTATTACCTCTTGAAATGCCTGATCTTCAAATGATGATTCTTATAACAATTCCTTTTTTAAACACAAATAATAAATCAGGTAACACATGCAGGCATACAAAACTAAAGAGAGTCACAAAATACAATGATCATGTTGTGTACCTAAAGGCTTCAAAATACGCCAGAAAAAGTAACTCAGAAGTATAGGCAGTGACCCACTTGCAGTGCACCCTGGTGTAGAGAAAACCATCCATAGATACACAGCCATAAGTTTTTACTTCTTTAAAAAAAAAGTATATAAATAAAAGCTTTCTAAATGCATTATTACTTTTTTCTTTTACAGATTTTATTTGGATATTACTTTATGAAAAAAATGAGAACATATGAAAGAATTCAAACAAAAGTTAGATCTTAAAATATATAAATATAGCTTATTTTAGATCTTAGATAAAGAAGCTGAACCACTTTGTCTGTAGAAATAAGATGACTTGATTAAAATTTTGCCTATTTATTCTTTTTTTAATTATTAAATTTTAATAGCAATTAAATTAGATTTTGTGAAATATTTTAAATTTTCGAAACAATTTCAATAATTTTGTACTATTCAATTATATGCATGTACAGCCTTAGTAAAAAGTATAAAATTTATGTGTAAATCATTATTTGGGTATTGAAATATGTGTCTAAACCAAAGAACTAATCAGTTTATGATGGATCACAAAGATTTTGTTAAACAGCTACAAGTTTCTGAAAATCGCTTATTTCATTTTTATAAAAATTCATGAGCTTTGATAATAATTAATTGTTTGACTGATGAGATAGATATACATTACAAAGTCCCATTATCAATTATCATCAATTTGTTATTTTTTATTGAATAATTATGTTTGTTTATCTTAATGTTATGTTTGTTTGCCTTAAAGACCTATCATTATATAAAATCTACTTTCGGGTTTATCAAAGCCTTAATAAGCAGTCCAATTGCAGATACTGAACTTTCCATTCTACATACAAATGAAAACATTCTGAAACAAACTGAAAATATCTCCTATAGATATAAAAAAATATTGGAACAGAGTCTTTAATATGGAAGTAGCGGTAGTCTCAAATATGAAACTGGAAATGAGAGGTATCTTATGTTAACTAAACTTGTAAAGTTAATCCTGACATTTTCTGAAGCTCAAATTTCAGTGAAATGAGGCTTTTCTGTAAACAAGTTTACTATAACTATTGATTGGACGAAGACGAGATCAGGCACTGTAGTAGATCTATGAGTTATTAAAAATTTGGTAAAAAAAATATACAGCTGACTTATTTTATAACAAAAGAAATAAGTAGATTCAAAATATTTGTGAGTGGCTCTCAGAGAGCACTTTTTGACAACCTTTGAAAGGGATTGATCAATGATTTGTTTTTAGAGTTGAAAGAAAAAATTAGAAAAAAGAATTATTTTAGAAAAAAACTAAGTGTCTCAAACAAGCAAACTTGGAAAAAAAACATATTTGTTTATTTATCAAAATAGTTCAATCGTTCATAATTGATGAATTTGTTTTTACCCACTATTATATCAGTTGGGGTCGACGACTGATATAATTGTGGATCTATCTCTAATTGATGCTAAACTTTGTTCATCGATCTGGTTATCATGACGCTAACATGAATGGCATTTCTGTACCTAGAAAATTAACTAAGTGAAATTAAAATCTCTTGCGAAAAATCATGTACTTTCGTTAACATTTTGAAGTCATTGAAGGTAACCCCTAAAAACGACCATTTTACTGTAAAACAAAGAGTGATCACTCCAGTCAGGTTTGACTGTACTACATATATTGAACAAAAAATTTTGTTATATGTCAGTAAAAGAGAACTCTTAATTTCAGTTGATTCTGAATGTAAATTCTAATTATATAGATATTACTGTTTTAATTTTTTATAAACTGATTTAGAAATATTTTTGAAATGCTTATAAAGTTTAAAAGAAGACCTGGTATTAAGATTAAAAGACATGCAATTTACCCTTTATCAAAATTTATTGTTCAGTACCCTCTCTTAGATACTGAATATTATTTTGATTGTACTTTAACTCATACTTGTGTAAATTACTACTTAAACAGTTGTTGGCATTTCTTTTATAACTCCTTTTGTGATTATTCAGTATTGTCTTTTAATATAACGTTAACTGCCATTAAAAAAATTGGCTGCTTTCCATAATCAAATCTGCAAAATTAAATTCACTACAGTATCAAATCATATGAACATCATTCTTTAATAAAATCATGATTTATGTTTTATGAAAAAATGCTTTTGGGGGACATGTTTTAAACAGGAAAAAAGCATCTATTTTCTTGTATAAATACTTAAAATTTTCTTACTTAAAAATATATTGCTGATAGAGTCTGTCACCCATTGAATAAAGGAACAAAATTGCTGGTGTGGATTACACTTGTGGAAATCAAAGGTTCAGAGTTAAAGAATAATGAAAAGGGTTGGGGAAAAGTCAAAGATTTTAAATGAAAACATATTTTAAATAAATGAAAGTTATTGAATGCTTGTCAACAAGGATTACAAGGTTTAAAAATTAAAAGGAATACAAATTTAAATAAACTATAGAATGTCTTGTGTGCTCAATGAGGTAAAACATATAACTAAATGATAGCAAATCTAGAAGTTATTTTATTTAGCTAAATAAAGTAGTACTAGAATTTCAACTTTAACATACTTCCTGTTTATGCTCTATTATTCAATTATGAATTAAAGGAGGGCTGATGCATTTTTACATTTATTTAAACTTATATTTGTTAGCCAGACACAAACTTTAACAGCAAGAGTTGAGTGTCAAAGTTGATATTCAAATGCATTTTAATTTATCCTTGACACATGAGGTTATATTGAAAGTTATGAAAAATAAACTAGTGTAATGTTGCTGACATTTAATCGAAGTGTGTCAAATGTAATTAAACTTAAATATAAATGTAGTAACTTAATTTTTCGTGTGTTTGTTAAGTTTAATTTTTTTTGTTAAGTATAGGTAAGTTTTTTTTATAAAATCAGCCATTTATTAAAATCAAATGACTGAAGAAAAAATATGATAAGCTGCAGGCACTTTACTTCAGCTGTCATTATGGTTTTACTTTTAATCTAGTAGCTTACTCTGTAATTTTATTATATCAATTTAAAAATAAACTTCTCAATAATAAACAAAAACTTCTAAAATAAAGTTTTTTCTTAGGAACTTTAAAATATTTTTAATGTAACTTGTTATTGAAAGTTGTATTCTTAAAGTATGCGCAGCAAACATGCTGAAAAGACTTTTTTCCCATGTTGCGGCTTATCAAAATAAAACAGAAAAGACTTATTATTTTTATTTCTTAATGAAAAATGAGGTTTTTTTTAAATTTTGTTGTTTAATCGTCTTGATATCAAATTTTCAATTTAATTCATTAATTTCTGTATTTTGAATGGTATTTCTGTATTTCAATGTAATTTTGTTTTCATTTTCTCCTAAATAGCATGCGGATGGGGCTTGGCCTTGCATGATTCTTGGAATGCTGATGTTTATTCCTGGTATCTACCATGTGAGAATAGCCTGGTTAGCATTTAGGGGTTATCCTGGTTATGTATATGAAGATATTCCAAATTTTGAGTAGTGTCCACAGCCAACATCAAAAGCAAGTTCTAGTCATATAATCATTACCATTTTCTGTCTTTTTTTTTGTACATAATTATATTCATCTTTTTTCTTCTATTACATAATATTTTGTGTCAATTCTAAATCTTTTTTACCCAATTATACCTTATTTAAATCTCTTAATTGAATGTATGTAAGTTTGATTTTTCTTATATTTAAATTAATTTTGACTTTTATTTCTTTTTTATTAACCTTAAGTCTTTGCCTTTCGTCTGACACATGTAATCACACTATATTAAAATTATGGAAAATGCATTCAACTCGTGGTCCTTAGGCTATAAAAAGGGCAACTCCACTGAAAGTTTTCCTACATGTGAAAAGTTTAAACATGACATTGACGAATTTGACTTTTTTTATATCACTTTAAAGCCTGAAGTGTATATCTTAATGTTATGCAACTTGATTTCTATGAGCATTTAATTAATGCCTACATTTTTAACTGAAAATTCATATTTCAAGATTTTTTCAAAAAATATGAGAAACTGAAATTTTAATTAAATATTCCATTTTAATGTAATAAAGGTTTTCTACCTTTAATCTATTTTAAGTTACATAATTCTACAATTACATAAAATAATTTTTGAAAATATAATTTTAATGATCCTAAAATTTCAAATTAGCCAATTTTTGTCTGAAATCTTTTGTTGAAAACCTTTTTGGTTTTATAATTGTTAACTCTAAGTTTAGTCCACGATAAGTTTACATCCATGATAAATTTTTTCCAAGCACACAATTTAAATAATTAGTGATAAAGACATAATATTTTGTGTTCTGTCTATAATATCAAACCAAGACTTTCAAATTACATGAAAATAAATGCTCTAAATCTCACCCATAGTTATAAATATAATTGTGAGAGACCACATAATTCCTAATATTTTGTTGTTTTGAGCTATCACAGAACACAATTTCATATCACTTTCTTTGATCAATTCGTAAACAAGATTAGATCACAGGTTTTAAGTTTTGTTGTCCCATTCTTCTCTGGCAGGAAAAACTACCTATAATGGATTGTCAATCACAGAACTTAATTTCATATCAGAATGTAATATATTTATAAATAATTTTCAGATGATATTTTTCACTAACAAATAGAGAATTTTTTTAAAAGAATTTCTGAGAAAATTTTTTTATATTTGCAATGTTATTTAATCTGGTTTCAATGTTCTAATGTGACTACAGGAATGCTTTGCAATTTTGACATTTGTGTGTTACCTCTGTGACAGTCAGTTTTTAGTTTTTTTAAATTTTTCAAATTTATTAAAGTTAAAAAGCTTTAGAACACCACAAATTTCCTTTACAAAAAAAAATTAAAGTGCTTCATGATTTTTAGCTAAATTATATGCATTTAAAGTCTGCATATATTATGTCCATAACGGTGGAATTGCTCAAAAATATGTTTTATATTTATATGTATTGTTTTTGAGGAATGGTTTTCATGTACCATATTTCAATATATCATGTGCCAATGGTTTTCAAACTTTAAAAAAAAAAAACACTTGTTTCCTAATTTTTATTTTTAAATTTTATTTGATGACTTAAATAAATAAACTAGTATTTAAAATCAAATTCAGTTAATAATCGTAATTAAAACTAATTAAGTCCTTTTTTTTATTTATTTTCTATCAGCATATTTTTAAGTAATTAATCATACTGAACATCAATATATAAAAATTAAAAATCACTGTAAGTATTTTTTTCTTTTTTATAAATTCCACCAAAGGTTCTATTTTCAGTATAAGTATAGATTTCCTGATCCAGTGAACCCCTGCTAACCTGTTTTTCATTTGCTTTATTCTTGTTTTATTTTCTCTCTTCTATTTTTATGCCAAATATAATTTTAAACACAATTTACTTTTTGTTTCCTTGAGTACATACTAATTTGAATATTTAATTTTGCACAGTTTAACTGTTCTAGATTCTTGTACCATTACTAATTTCCAACCATTACTATTGTGTCATTACCATTTTCCATATCCAACCATTTTTCAAAAAACTTCATGTTTACTTCTTATGTGACTGAACCTATAGTTTAATTTGTTATTAAATAACTTTTTTTTTATAATTATAACCTTTTTTTCACCGCGAAACCTGCTTTAAAATCATTGAATTTAGAAACGTTTCAATGTTTAATAGACAGTATTTATTTTGGATGTCGCTGCTGTATAATCTATTCTTTTCTTTCATATATTTTGAATTTAAAACCACAAATTTTGAAAATTTTTTTATCTGTTGTGATATTTTTTTAAAAAATTAACTTTGACTCAATTGGACATAATATAAGATTTTAACATGGCAATATGAATTGTTAAATTTCTAACAATGACAGGTTTTATACTTTAAGGATGTTCATTGTTTACATAACTGAAGTTTTTATCAGGTCTTGTTATAGTTGTTGATAAAACAATTCAGCCCATTCCTTATCAGTTTTAAGGGGGTGTATGTCAAGTCACTGTATCAGTTTTTTTTTTTTAAAAAGACGGAAGTTGCTTGAAATTTAAAAAATATATATAAAATTATGAAATATTTTTAAAACCTTTTTGTGTAAAAAAAATTTTTTAATGCACAAATTCAAACTATGACCTTCTAGATAAAATTAGCTACAATCTTAAAATTATTGTGCTATCACTTTTTTTTTAGTTTTTATTTATTATTTTGAATAACGAATAAAACTTTAATTTTACCTAGTTCATTTAATGTAATACTTTTGTGTTAAATAATTATTTATTTCAAGTTTATTAGTTTTAGTTTAAATGAAAAAAAAAGGAGAAAATGGTAAATTGTTATAAAAATATTTTCAATTTTGAGTTTATTTGCTAATGTGAGTCAGTGTTACTTTAAATTAAAATTAATATGTAATTTTTAAAAGTTACTGTACGATTGTGCTTCTGCAAAAATATGCATGCAAAATAAATTGATGTGAAGAAACAATCAGCAACTCGGTACTCTGATAGTCTTTTAAGATTTGTTAAATAATGAATATGGAACAAATAAAGATCAAAATTCTTTTTTTTATTTTGTTAAATAATATATTATGTGTGCTATAATTAAAAGCATAAGATGCTATTCTAAATTTTTATTTTTCAGTTTGAATTCTGAAATTTTGAAATTATTGTATATATGCTGTATATTTTATTCAGGATTCCTGATGTCTTCAGGATTAAATCAAAAAATTTGTAAAAAAGAACAGTATGACAAAAAAAAAAAACATGTATTCACATTAACAATCTATTTAAACTATTAATCAATGTTTATTATTATATTTAATGTTTATTATTATATTAAATGTTTATTATTATATTTAATGTTGCATTATTTATAAGCGTTATGCAAAGCTTTGTTGTGACATTGTTCATGATGTTGATTGTTTATAATGATAGACAAAAGAGTAGTCTATTTTTATTTATTAGAAAATTAAGAGTTCTAAAACATATCTTTATTTTATTTCAATATTTTTTCTTTGTATCTTCATGCAGCCTTTTTTGTATTTTTAATCTTTTTGATCATTCCATTATTTGTAAATTTTTTTTTCAATTGAAAAATGTCTTGCCAAAGAGTTTTCTTACTCCTTTATATTAAATTTTACATTGATTCAATTTTTAAAAAAGTAAGTAAATTGAAATTAATGTTATAAATTGCATCTTGCTTAAATATTTTTATTAAGTGTGGCTGAAGTATGACATTAAATGATGCTAAATTATTGAACTCAAGGCATTTAAATATTTATTTGCAAATTAAGTGGAGTTTGCAAAAAAAAAAGTTATAAACATATTCAGAATCTTATCATTTTTTTTATCATGTTAGCTTATTTGTGGAACAATTAGATATTTTAAATGTTTACTGAAAATATTTATGGTTGAAAAAGTTTTTATGAAATACTTACTACATGGCATAAAATGTTATGTATTTTTTTTTTATTTTTTTTTTATTTATTTATTTTTTTTATTTATTTATTTTGAGAAGAAAATTTTCTTTCTTCTATCTTGGCTTTGACACTATAGCTGATTTCAAATGTGTCATTTTTCATGATTTAAAAAATAAACTCTTGATCGAAGTTTAACCTGTTGTATCAATGTGCTGACAGATATTTTTTCTCACAAAATCATTTTGGAAAAGTTAATAATTCTAGTAGTCCACTTAAAATTTTTGAAATTAACAAGGATAACCCTGTATTCCTAAACATTGGTTAATAATTTTTTCTTGACTTTGAACATAATAATTTCTTCTTAACTTTGAATTTAACAGGTTATGTGACTTTGAGTCCCATGGCCTGTTTCAATAAATATCATTATTATTCAAAATTTTACAAATAATGAAATTGGATTAGTTAAATTGTTTTTATTTAAGTTAGTCCCCCTTAAATTAATGCATGTGCAATAACTTTTCATGTGTGACATTTTAAATTTATTTTCATTAAAAAAAGGGAAGAAAAAAAATTAAAGATGGGAAATAATGTTATTTTCAATAAGAACAAAACATTTTAAAAATCATTTCTGAATTCTGTGCAAATGTATTATGCAAAGTTAGTGGAAACCTCTAAAAAAAATAGTGTTTTCCACTAGCCTAGTTATTGAATAAAAAAATTACTGCTTTTTTAGTGATTTATTTTATTAAGAAATGGATTTAATGAAATATGAAATTTAAATTTTTAAGTGAAAGAAAATATATTATGCATATTTTTTCATAACATTAACAAAGCAAAATTGAAGCAGTATCAATTTTCAAACATGAACTCCCTTTTTTGAGTTCAAGAAAAGAAGTGAATTAGGACTAATCTAAAAGGTATCTGCAGTTTGTTACTAACTCCATTGAAATATGCCGAAGAAGTCTTCCATGCATTATTAATTTTTAGCTGATTTGGAATTTGGTAAAATCAAGTGATTAATTGATTACAAGGTAAAAATTTTTAAATGGTGCTGCCATCTGAAAGTTAAATTTATCAAAATATAAAGTTAAATTCCTTTATAATTTTCTTTTTTAATTCAAAGATTTTACTAAATTTTATGTTTTAGAGATGAATTGGTTCAAAGTGTACTCATTAGTTTCGTGGTGTTAATAATGGATTGATAATCAATGAATTGAAACAAATGTTTTTTCTAACTTCTTTTAAAGCACTAGGTACTTTTCAGTACTAAGTACAAAATATCAGATTCACTAATAAAGACTTTTCCCTAAGCTCTCCAGTGCCTGAATGTCTACAATTTCTCTTACCTTGTTCCATGTGTATTTATTGTATTAAATAAATTTGTAATTGAATTATTATTTTTTATTTGATGGATATTTCAAGAAATAGCTTTTAGTATTAATTTTTATTTGGTATAATTCTTATAATTTCTCCAATTTTGCAGAAAAAAAATTATTAATTCTTGTTATGTAACTGTGTAAGTTTGAATTCTACCTCTGTCAATAAACAATATTTATCCTCTTTTAATATTTTTCTAATTATATTAAGACAATCAAGATTTTTCAGTACTTACAATTATCTTTTTTTTAATTATTTTATGATGAATAATTTCTTATGTGTATTGATCCTTACTTGACACATTTAAATAACTTGTACTTGTACTTGAGAAAACTATTTCATGGCTTAGTTTGTTGAAATTTACAAATGCTGTGTGTTTATTAAATTTTGCTCTTACCGTGTTTAGTTGAACAAACTAAATAAAATTGAGTAATTCAAAGAATATCATAGCATTTAATGTTCATTTTTCTCTTTAAAATTTATTTGAAATAATTATAACCCATTTTATCAGCTTATCAAAGCAAATTAATGAATGTATTCTTTTTTCTCTATGCTTCGCAATGATTTAAGTTTTTCTCCAACAATGTTATTTCTGTTTAGTACCATTTTTAAGCTGTAAATAAACGTTTTTCGATAACAGTTGCGTTGTATATATGTTTTGAAAATAAATTTGAATTTTTGTGTGTTGTTCACGAAATAAAAACGTCCAAGTCAATCTCTACTCTTAAAAACAAGGGTTTTTCTACTTTAAACAATTTTCACAAAAAATTATGAAAACCTATTTTTCTGACTTAAAATTAAGCATTTGTCACTTGACCTTTGATGACTGAATAAAGCAAGTCATTAAAAATATCTAATAAAATTAAAATGTATGATTTATAAGATAAAATAATTTTTTAATAAATATACTTTTATGAAACATTCCTTATAATGAAGCATTCCTTTAGTGAAATGAAACACTCCTTATACCTAATGCCCAATTAAACTCTTATTGGTTTGTTTAGTTTGTTTGGTTATTGTAAGATTTTTTAAAAAATTTTCACATATTCAGTTAAAAAAAATTAACAGTACATGAGTTATTTTTAAAATGAATATTTCAAATTAATTTATGGCATATTGAAGAAGAAAAATGTTTTAAAAATCAAGTTTAATGAAAAATTCAAAGCAGAATCTGTGTCACCAGTCTGGCCGTTTCCTTTAGGTCTAGGAACCTGAATATATATATACTGAGAGAACATTCTTTTTGCTGCATACCAAACTCATCTTTGAACACAAAAATTAAGATCCCTTGCTGTTTGCAACAAAAAATAACAGCAATGCAATATCATCTGTGATACAATCGAGCACTTTTATCTGTTATAGAGATTACTATTTTTTGTAAATGAAGAACTTGATGGAAAAAGGTTTGAAGAAACTTTTTCTTTTTGAATTTTAGAGTATCAACTGTTTTAGAATGTCATAAAATGTCTTATAAATTAATTTTGTTGGAAAAATCTTAACACAATATTAAACCAAACTTTTCTATTAAGTTCGTGCACCCGAACCATTGCCCTTTTTACTGTATATCCAGTCAATTTATAAACCCAAAGACATTTCGTTTTTGAACTTGTTACAAATGGTGTTCCCATGTAAAAATATTCTGGAAATTAAATAAGGAATAAAAAAAACAAACTTTTTTATACCTTGGAAGATTAGAAAGAAAATACAAGAATTTCTAATAAAATGTTTAATATTTTATTTTTGGTTTTGATACAAGCATTATTGGTTTAAGAAATCCACTTCAGCTTTGACACATTTGCCCGTGGTTACATCCAACGCGCTTACCTTTATCTCAGTGTCACCAAACATCATTTGAGTTTGAATTTCTCGGTCTTGTACATACCTGCTGTCCGAAAGATCCAAAATTAAAGTGGCGCATCGTTTAACACCTGAATCTGTAATGAAATAAGCATTGTCTTTTTCACTACAATATATGTGTATAACACTGCAAGATTGCCCATCTTTTGCTGGTGTATATCTTCTTACTACAACATCACCAACTCCAACGGATTGTTCGTTTATAACAAATTTATCAAACACATCTGCACACCACTGGATACCATCCTTTATAACAAGCTTTTCTCGAGGATGAATCCCATGAATAAAGCGATTAAGAATTCCAACACCGTACGTCATTCTAAGGCGTCGAATATTCACAGCTGTTGGATCTAAACCGAATAGAACTGCTCCCTTTAATATTGCAAGACTTACTCCTTGGGGAATTACAACTTTAAGCTTAGAAGAAAAGGCATCTTTTATTTCTTTTTGAAGAATAAGTGATTCAGCAAACCCTCCAACTAGAAAAATGTGATCGATGTTCATATCTTTTTCAGTTATAATAGCATCTATGTGTTTTCGGATTTCTCCCACTGTGTTTTGGAACAAACGTTCCATTTCTGATGACTCTAACCTTAGCATTCCTTGTGATGACCATTTGACATTTTTATGACTAGATTTCTTTATAGCAGACTCCACCTGTAAATATGAAAATATTAGAGTATCTGTCAAAAAGTAGCTATAGAAATCTTTTTTCTTGCTGCTTCAACTCTTTTATGCTAATTTTAATGTGTATTTTCAATTTTTCATTGCTACTACGCAGCCAATTAAAATTATTGAGGTACATTATGACAGGAAAAGGTTTAATGGGCTTCAGCTTCATTCTTTTGTTGAATAAAAATTTTTCTCTATGACATAAATTAATGTAAAATTTCTCTTATCTCAAAGCACAATAATTTTAATTTCTACAATTTTTAATGAAAGCGTCGTTAGACTAATATACCAGTGCTTTGACCAACAATTAGATGAAAATTTATTGGTACACGAAGTTATGCGAGTTTCTATGCTCAATTTTATAAAATAATATATTTTATATTTATCTATTTTATAATTTATATATTTAAGTGCGGCTTATAAGCCTTTGTCAAGTGGAAGAACAGCGATAGACCGCAAAATAATACTTCCGGGGTTACAGCGAGATTCAAATCTGCTAATTTTACTCTACGAAAATATAGCACTACTTATTTCATGACTTGTCATTATTGCCATCATATTAATAATTATAACAATTTGGAAACTATTATGAAAATGACTATTTGGTAACTATTAAGTTTGATTTTGCATGCAATTAATGTGCAATTTCAACTTATTTTGTTAATTTTTTACTCAATATTTTTTTTTAGAATTTAGTGCTTTTATTATTTTTTTTATCTCAACTGCATTGTAAAACTAAAAAAAAATTTGGGGAAACATTGATAGACCTGTATTTGCGCATGCTCTTATTATATCCACGAAACAAACTTTTTCAGAATTGTGTTTATGGCACAGTTAAATTATTTTTCACAAGGGATAAAAAAAAATTTAAAGTGATATTCCTTGCACTAAATATAAATTTAAAAAAATTTTTTTTTTTTTTTGAAGTTTTTCAAGCTGGTATCAGTACAAAAAAAAGACAATCTCCTTAAATATTTATTTTAATTTCAAAATCGAAATTTACTTTTTATAACTGCCAACAGAAAAGTGAGCCACCTTATGTGTTTAATAGAAAACGAAATATTCTTGAACTTACCGAAGATCCTTTATGCTTTTTGTAATAATCAATGAAAGAGAAAGGTAAAGAGATATTCAGCGGGTTTGCTTTGTAGGGATTGGCATTTCTTTTTCTTGACTCAAATGCAATCATTAGGTCTACGTAACCTGTTGGTCTTTTTGCTTTGAATTGCTGGATGAAGTCATCTCCAAAAATATCACACAACAATTTTTCGAACTCCAAGTCTACACCAATTGAACCATATGGTCCACCTGAAGCTTTTTTGAGTTCTTTAAGAGTCCCCTGTTCATCCAGGAGCTGATGCACTGTAATGTCCACTGTACCACCACCACAGTCTACCACCATATATCGGGTACCTGATAAGAAGAAGAAAAATAGTATTTATAATTATAAAAGTTAAGCGTGAGATAAATGAGAACAAAAATAAATAGAAATGTCAGCAAGTAATATTAGCATTTATTTAGATAATACACTGAGTTCAATAAAATTGAATTTGGGATGACATTGTCATACTCATCCTTGGTAAAGATTTTCACATTTGTCAGCTCATGCTAAATACCTTAAGCTATGAAAATGGTGCATAGAAAGGAATCTGGATGTAAATCCACAGAAGACCAATCTTGTACCATTCATTCCCAAAGTAAAAAAAAATGATGTTTTTTTTCATCCCAACACTATTCAATCCCCAAATCAACATTGTCTCTGAGGTGAAATGTTTAGGCCTAATCCTTGACCAAAAACTCTCGTGAAGCAAACATGTTGATTACAAAATTAATCAAGCAAAAGAAAATGAATCATGATGTGCAGACGCATGCTTAGTAAAAACTGGGGCTTACAACCAATAATGATGTTTTGGATGTACACAGCAATCGTCATCCCTACTATCACTAATGCTTCTGTGATTTGGTGGTGCAAAGTGTAACAGGAAACAGTGAAAGACAAGCTAGGAAATCTGCTAAGACTGGCCTGTCTGTGTATCACAAATGCAATGTTCACAGCACCCACCAGAGCACTAGAAATCATTTTGAACTTGAATCCATTGGACATATTTGTATGCAGCGCTTTCAGGATGACTGTTTACTGAATGAAGTTGCAAAATCAATGGTATGACAAGACTACCACTATGAGTCATAGCAGTATTGATAAGAAAATCCATCACCCTTCTCTCCTAATGCCTTCTGACCGTATGGAGAGAAAAATACGTGTTTGACAATCCATTATAGGTAGTTTTTCCTGCCAGAGGAGAATGGGACAACAAAACTTAAAACCCGTCATCTAATCTTGTTTACGAATTGATCAAAGAAAGGTAACCTCTCTAAACTGGGAGTGTGTGGCATATCACTGAGCGTCAATCTCCTTGATGATCTTGGGAAGTATGCCACTGTCTTTCAGGCAAAGGTTCTTAGCATCACCAACTGTCTACAGGTAAATATAAGAAAAGGCTATCATAGTAAGCTGATTCTTATTTTCATTGACAGTCAAGCAGCCTTAATGGCTCTTCATTCATTCCAAATTAAATCAAAAATTATTTTGTCTTGTAGAAACCTTCTAAGAGAACTGGCAACCAGGAATAAGATTATTCTTATCTTGGTACTAGGGCGCATGGGAATTGACGGTAACAAAAGTGTTGATGAACTTGCAAGCCAGGGATAATCTTTCAATCCAATAGGAATGGAATCCTTCTGTGGCATCAGCATGAAGATTGCAGGGAAGTCATCCTTAAATGGGAAAAACAGGAGACGAACAAATTTTTTTGCAATTCTCCTGGACAAAAACATGCTAAAAGTATGATTATCGGTTTATCTGCAAAAATCGCTTCTGAAAGTTTTAGGCTTCCAAGTTCGAGCATAAAAACATTTGTGGGCTTCATCACTGAACATTATGACTGCAGAAAACACCTACTTAGAATGGAGCTTTTTAAACAAGAACCAATATGAATACGCAGGAAATGCTACAAGAATGTGGAATCAGCGTATTACATTTTATATGAGTGTGATGCCCTTACACGATTTAATACTTTAGGCACTCTCCATCTTAAAGAGCTACGCATCAGCTCTATTAAGGGACTGTCATACTTCATAAACAAAGTAGGCAACCCAAGAAAATGGAACTAGGAAGAATTGGGTCGGAGCATTTGGCACAAAATGCTAATAAAGTTGAGGGACCTCACATCGGACAAGCCCAAACAAGGCGGGGTTTTTTTTTCTACGTATTTTTATAAAACATAATATTTTCATCATAATTAACTTAATTTTTATGAACTAAAAACTCATATGAAGTAAAATACATTTATAAAGTTTTAATTTGTCCTATAAAGTTAAATAAAAGTAAATGTTCCATGTATTATAATTTTTTTTCCTTGAACTTTACTTTGAATATCTTTATATTTACGCAGGAAGTTGACGTAAACGTTACTTCATTTAATTGAAAGAATAATTCCGAGTTAAAAAGTTACAAATCAGTGCAGGCAGATATTTCATTTTGTTCATGATTTTATTATTGTAAAAAAAAAAGTGTAAAACACAATCTTACCAACACTAAATGATGATGATGCGTCACTACTCTGTCCTGGTATATTGGAGTGATTGACATCTGTAAATCAAAAATGTTTAATAAGAATAATCATATTAGAAGATAATCTATGTCATAGAAAAAAAATTGCGTTATTTCACAAAGAAGGGAACTTAGTTATGTTTAGGGGCGGATCCAGAAATTTTTCCTGGGGAGGGTCATAGACTCCCCCCTCCCCACAATAATTTTTTTTATAAAAAAATTTTTTTGAAAAGAAATCTGAGGTTTTTAATGCTAGTCTTCTAATTTATTTTTTCCATAATGAACAATAGAACAATACATAAATAATTCAAGTATTCAAAATCTTTAAATAATAAATGTAATGAGTTTTTTAGAAACTTAGCAAATCTGTCAATGATTTTTTCAACATCCAAATCAATTTCTCTATGNTTTTTTTGAAAAAAAATCTGAGGATTTTAATGCTAGTCTTCTAATTTATTTTTTCCATAATGAACAATAGATAAATAATTCAAGTATTCAAACTCTTTAAATAATAAACGTAATGAGTTTTTTAGAAACTTTGCAAGTCTGTCAATGATTTTTTTAACATCCAAATCAATTTCTCGATGAATGCTTAATAATAATGCTAGTCCATTTAATCGTTCTTGATTTTGAGTTTCTCTAAACCAAGTTTTGAGACGCCGAAGAGTTGAAAAGGAACGTTCTGCTGTTGCTGCACTAACTGGCAGATTTATTAAAATTCTCACCAACATATTGATTGATGGGTACAAATCGATGTCACAATCATTAATAATCTTGGAAAGATCGTTGGGCACTTCAAGTCCTACTTACAAGTCTAAAAACAGTGAAGAATGTAATTAGGCGGAAAAAAAATTGATTTTTCCAACCTACATAGTTGTATATGCCCCCTTAAATAATTTTTGAAATATTTTATTTCTGTTGTAAACTATTGAAAAAATTATTATTTTAATTCTTTTTTTCAATTTTGGGGGAGGGGGTCATCCCCCCCCCCCCCTCCCGCTGGATCCGCCACTGGTTATGTTATAAGTATATTTATAAACTAACTATTGAAAATGCTTCCCATAAAAGAATTTTATCTCTATTTTCTTACTTTAGATTCATAGGCGATAAATTTTAAAAAAGTTTTAGATCTATGCAGAGTATTTACTAATTTATTTGCAGAAACATTTGGTCAACTCTTGTCTTTTATATAAATTAGGTTTCAAATTTGACCCTTGTTTTCAAATTCACAATCGCAACGCTTGAATACGCTCTCTAGCGGGAAGGATATTTTCAGTCCACTATTTGTTAAACTTTCATTTAGTTCCATCAGAATTATTGGTGAAGTAAGACGTGCTTTTTTCAGCAGCAAATAAGCAACCGAATTTCCCAAAGGAGAAAGCAGAAAAACTTGAAAACACAACCCAGAACTTCGGTAAATATATTTGAAATAGGATGAAAAACAATTTTTCATTAATTTTTTCATTCAATTATCAATAAACTAATAACATCCGATTTTTTGATCGCATAGTGTTACGGATGTGTATTACGGTAAAATACATTAATTGTAAATTAAAATTATTTAAGTCCATATTGCTTACATCATTCCAATGAATAAATGTGGTTTCAGAACTATAAAAGTTCTTGAAAATTTTTCTTCTTTATAGAATAGTATATTATCTATATTATTATTTATAATGAATCTATATTATTTGGAAAACAGCAATAAAGAATCATCAGACATACTTGAAAAATGTATAATTTGTGTTGATTATTAATAAATTTTTAATACTTTCTTGGTAAGTATTTTCTTAATTTTGAATGATTAATTTCAACTAGAATTCAGCTATTCATTTAAGTTGCATATTGAAATTCATCTCGAGAGTTTGCAAATTTTTATTGTGTGGTATGTCATCTTAAAGTAATGATCTCGTATATATTATTTGAGAGTAGAATTTTTAAATTAAAGTGGAGTATATTTTGGGGTTATGAAGCTGGCAAATGTTATGATTTTTATAATAAAAAATTTACTTCTAAGCGAATTTTTTCTAATTTAATGATAATTCTGCTCAGAATGGTTTTCTACGTCTCATTAAAAAGAAAACTTTAAAGATTAAAAACACTAAAAAGCTCAACATGAAAATTTTTAATTTATATATGAGGAATTTTTAGAATAATTATTTTTTATCGTAAACATTCTTTGTTTTGCGTTTTTTAGTTTATAAGTAATGATTTTTAAAATTTTTGATAAAAATTGTTAAAAAACTTGTTTTGCACAAATAAATTATGTAACTTTATGAGTTTCAGTATACGTTTTGCATATTTCAATTTTTTTTTATATCCTTCGTTGAACAGCCGACCCAATTTTTGGGTTTACGGCTACTAATGTTCAACTCCGTAGCCTTGTAATTTTGACCAATCCAGAAGACAAGGAAACTCCTGGATCAGTACCCCCAGAGGTATTGATTTGTTGTGAGAACATGGAGGACTTTGCGACTCGACAGCTTTAACGTGCATCAGTCACCATTAGTCTTTGGCCAGCGGGGATCGAACCCACGATCTCTTGAACATGGGCCCAGCGCCCTACCAACCAGGCTATCCCGGCCTATATTTTAAGATTTGAAGTAATTTCATTCATTAAATTATTGGATGTAAAGTTTAAATAGACCCTTCATATTAAATAAATAAATTTAGCAGAACAATTTCGCAGACATTAAGTTTTAACTCTAATAAGAAGATAGATACATATTGATCCCGCAATTGACTGATCGTCAAGACACGGTTCCCAATAGAACACTGAAGTCAAGCATCACTGGCCGCGGTCAGTGTGTGGGTGTGTGACCACTTAAACCAGCCTGCAACGGCTTTTAAAAAATCGTCTGATAAATTTTAACATTTTTCAAATTTGTCGTTCGACCACAGAAACTTAAAAAAAACAAAGTGAACTACAAACGTATTTTAAAGAAATTATAGAGGTTATAATAGCTGTTAGCATATTTAAACTTAAAATAATTTTCTTTATTTTCAAAAAAGAAGCTTTTCGTAAAATGAATTGTTTGAAATACAACTTTTTAAGCATGTTTGCATCGTTTTTTAAAATGATAGATTCATCAAGAGAATATGAAAAGTTTGTTTCTCAACTTTTATTCATATCGAATTCAGGATTTAATCTTATTTTTAAGGTTGAGTATATTTTCAAATACCTTACTACTTTCTTTTCTCTGTGAAGAATATTTATGGCTAATTTAGTCATGTTTAAACGAGAATAATTCAGAACTTCCGATTATACCTATCATATGAAGAACAAAATTCTACAAAAGTCTTTCTTTGATATCCAGATAATTTTTAATTATTTTCAGGAATACTACTCTTTTGTATTTTTACATATCCTTTAGTTAATTCTTTTCAATATATCTAAAAAGTTATAATATTTTTCATAAAATTAAATCATTACTAATTAATTTTTAAATCCGGGTTGAAATTTCTCAAAAATTCAAACAGTGTATATTAAAATTATATTATTTATTTAATCTACCTATAAATTTTTAACTAATTTGATAGAACACTAATATGTTAACCTTTTCGTTGTGGCAGTCTGTTCCACTGAAGTGACGCAAACGGTGCTATGCGCCACAAAGTACGCAAATTGCATGTCGGTGAGCTGATGTTCGGAATTTCTTATTAAGATTTTGCATAAATATGTGTTTGGATATTTTGAAACTATAATAAATAAAAATACAGTCTACTTACAAAACATATTAAGCGCATTTAAAATATGTTTTTTTGGGGCATTAATGGTTATCAAATAGTATCACGCTGACACCGGCTGAATACGGCGCTCGTACGCACAGTTCGTCGCGTGGATGCCAGCTAAATAAGGTGTTCGTAGCGATAGGATAAGTGATTAACACTAGAAAGACTGAAACTTAATATATACCTATATTGCCCAAAAGCAGTCAAAATGACTGGATTGTAAAAGAATAAATAATGTGTAAACAATTTTTTTTTAATATTTTTTATATTATTTATAGTTATATAACAAGTTATTAGTAAATACTAAGAATAAAAAGATTATATGTTGTACAAAATTCTAAGAAATTGTCTCATTATATTCATCAATGTTTTTCTAATTGTAATTAAAAACAGTCAAAATGACTTCCTTAGGCAATCTAGTGTTAATTGCTTCTATTATATAACTATTGTGCGATTATTATATATTTGTAGAATATTATACGTTTATGTGAATATATAATAGGATTATTATAAGTTTATGAACTATTAATACTTTTAAAGAAGTTACCCAAGGTATAAGTCTTACGACATTAGTAAACCTCACTGCATAACTAATTAGTACTATACTTCTATAGAAAAAAATAGATCAATTAAAAGGAATTGTAGTATTTCAAATTTATATTGCATAAAATATGGAGCAGAAAAATGTTACTTAGAAATCTTCAAAATTTTCTTATTGTTGCGAGAACTTTCTTCAATTTCATTAACAGAATTTACGACTATAGCTTATATTTTCTATAGTTGGCTACGCCGATCATATAGTACCACAACATAGTGAAGCGGGTTGCTTCTATGAAGAGTGAGCATAATAAATGGTGAAATTAGATTTTAAATTTTCACAATTTACAAACTATTGCTGTTCAATATTTTGTCTGAGGTCGAAGAAAAAATGTTTTTTAGAAAACAAATCTTTTAATTGTTTTATTATTATAATAATTTTTATTTACAGATTAATTGTGAATAAACTAAAACATATAAAGATACATTTTTAGGTACACCTTCGTAAATTCTTCAAATTTACAAGTTATATTTTTAGTTTTCATTACAAATAAAATGTGCTAGTGTTTATTTATTTCTTAGAAGAGAAAATATAACTGTAAAGTTTTACTGTATTTTAACATCAGAAAACAACATTGAACTACTAAAAAACACCAGTAACAATAACATTTATAAACTAAGAAATATTTTTAAAATATCAATAGATCAGAAAAAAATCACAAAATAAAACTTAAAATATACATACCCGATTTAGATCGCAAACGGCATCATTTATTTTAGAAAATCTCACCTTTGTTTATCTGGTAAACTTTAGATTAGCCGTCAGATTTGTAGTTTAAAAAACGTAATTTAAAATAATAATTATGTGAAGAAAACATTTTATAATTACCTTTGTCGTTTGTTCTTTCGGATTCACACTCTTTTTTCCAGCTAAATGAAGATCGATGAAAATGAGTTTCATCAGGGACTAGTTGATGAAGTTTCATCCGTCTACAGTATATGGAAGCCGCTTCTGGTTCTAATGCAATCAAAAGTTGATCAGGGTATTCCGGACTAGCTATGCCAGCCTAAACAAAAATTAATTTTAATTTTTAACCAAAAAAGTACTTAAAAAATTGTGTTCTTCTAATAAAACCGGCCTGTTTATGCATGTATATTCCAAGTTCATATATGAAGGCCTCTGGTCAATCTAGTAATAAGCCACATTTTTCCCAAAAGTGATATTCTTAAGTCGATTCTTTAGCATTTTTTCCTTATAGCTTCTGTACAAGTTTCCGTTAGAATTTCCACTAGTACACAATATGCAAAAACATCGTAATGCCTACATAGTGTTTATTACTAGAAACACTCTACTATACAAATTGAAAATCTGGCTTTACCGTTATACTGTCCCAAACCATTCATGCAATATAATTGAAATACATTTTGTAGCTTTGTTGCACTGATTTATTTGCCTACATACTGTTTTAAAGAGGAAAAAGCAAATACGTTAATTTATTATTGAAATGAAAAATAATAAAGCATTAATTTATAGTATATGAACCAGGATATCAGTGTAATTGCCGACCGACCTGTAAGGTGATCAAGGAGATTTCCTCATACCAGGAAGGTCTCGGGTTCGAATCCCACTTCGGGCATGGATGTAATTTCTCTGTTTTATCTATTCTTTTTGTAATCCGAAGAGGATATTGATCCACCAATAATAGTGCCCACGTGAAAGAGAGTAACAATACTGCCCATTAAGTACCATAATGCCATATGTTGCCAAAAGTGGTGGGCATTGAAAAACATGTCAGTGTTATTAGGTTTAAAAAGAGTGAATGTTGCGTTTCAAAGTTTGTTAACAAAATCATTAATTTTTATGAAAATAAGTGTTGAATTTAAATTAATTTTTACATTAATAGGAAATGTACTCATAAATATTTCGTAAGTTTGTCTTTTATTACCTTAGTTTACGCATTGGTTATGTATATGAAAAGATAATGTCATTATTATCACTAGAAAGACTGAAACTTAGTATATACCTATATTACCCAAAAGCAGACAAAATGACTGTATTGTAAAAGAATAAATAATGTGTAACGAAATTTGTTTAAAATTAATTTTTTATTTTATTTACAGTTATATAACAAGTTATTAGTAAATATTAACAATAAAAAAATTATATGTTGCACAAAATTCTAAGAAATTGTGTTATTATATACATCAAACATTATTTTTCTAATTGAAATTAAAAGCAGTCAAAATGACTTCCTTAGGTAATCTAGTGTTATTTACGTTTTGGTAATCATTTTATAAATATTTATAATTATTATATCATTTATAATTACATCATTATTAATTATAGTTTTCATCAACTTAACTTTACTCTTTAGCTTTTAAAATGCGAATTTAGCTTTTAAAGTGCGAAAATTTAGTACGAAGTATAAATTTTACCTTGTAAGCTGCTGCTCTCATAAATTGTTTAGCTGGTTGTTTCCATATAGCTGGAACTGTTACAACCCATCTTACATCTTCATTTAATATTTTTGTAGATGACTGATCACTCAATTCTTGTAATGCATGATCTTTAAAATAGCTAAGGGCATGAGCAAAAACTGTAACAGCAGGGACTCGTTTACCATTTGATGCAGCTATTTCTGTATCAAGAGTTAAATGCTTTAGGAAGAGAAAAGGGAAAAATTATTAGAATTTTTGCTTGCGATTTTATAAAATTCTGTTAGTTATTTTTGCATGCATGACTTTTTCACAGAATTTAAAAATTCTAGATAGTAAAGTTTATAATTATAATTTAAATTAGTTATTTTAAACTATCCAAAAGTTTTAATGTGTTTAATTTTTTTTTACTTGTAATTTGCTTGCAAGTGCTGTATATTCCAATAAAACAGTTTGTAACATTTTAGTGATTACAAAAAATTGCAGTTGAATTTACTAGCTCAATGATGTTGGCGTGTTCCTGCGTAGAGGAATTCGATTGTTGCTTTTATATTCTGCTTCCTGATAATATAAAAACTATAAGAAACTTTAATGTAAATCAACAGAACTTAACTGTTTTATTTAGTTTATTTGTTGCATTTAAAAGTAGAAAAGATGATTTCAGCCTACATAATGAGTTAGTTCGTTCACCAGGAGTTGACACTTGGCTCCGCCTTCATCACGTGGTATCCGACGATACTATTTTGCTATTTTTGGGAGAAGGATGTGAACAATCATGCACAAGCTTGCTATTCGGTGATCATAAAACAAAAATATTTCTTTCGTAATCATTATATGCATTTTTTTAACATTAAATATTTCATAAATTTGATAATATTTCTCTCTTTTGAGTGAATAGTTTGTGCTTTTTGAGACATTTTGCTGCAATATATTTGAATAGCTAGAGTAACGAAAGGTACAATAGCAGATGATAAAGCGAAGTAAGAGATAGAAGAAGAATTCACTGTTTGAGTTTGGGGCGCATTAAGGGTTATCTCAATTTCAAGCGCGGAGACGTTTCTCCTCTTCCTCCCGCTCTAAAATGAATTCTTCGTTCGAGTAGGTGGAGCCAAGTGCCAACTCCTGGTGAACGAACTATACTTGTATTATCAGTGCTTACTTCAATACAAATAATTACTTCTGTATAATTTAAATATGTATTATTATCTGTTTTTTTTTAATTTGTTAAAAAATTCTTCAATTTACATGCAAAGCTTTACATTTTTTAACGCAAAGCTTTAAATTAGTGCATTTTTAACTATGCACTTACGTTAGTTCAATTACACCGGAAACTTTGATTGAGTTGAAGTAATATATAAAGGTTATTCAATGAAAGTAATAAAGATTATATTAATATTTTCAAAATATTTCCCGTGCAATTCTTTTGCTTGTGAATGGAAATAAGAGCGAGATAGAATGAATTAACTCGATTATTTTTTCGGAAATTTACTACGTGAACTAAAGATTGAGTGTAATCACTATTGAAAAAATTATTTTATATAATATTATAATGAAATTTTTTCTTTTAATATATGTAATGCATTAAAGGAATATATAAAAATATATATACTTTTATGTATAATATCTTTGTATTTTTAAATTAATTTGTATATTTTAAATGTTTCTATTTTTTAAAACATTCATAAAAATATGATATTGAAATTATTCTTTTTTTTCTTCTTAGAAATGAAAAAAATAAATTAAGAAATTTTATATCTCTTAAAAAATCAAAAATCTTTTATATATAATATCTTTATATTTTTAAATTAATTTTTATAATTTACATTTTTTAAACTCTTATGTTTTTTAAAATATATATAAAAATATAATATTGAAATTATTTTTTTTTCTTTTAGAAATGAAAATTAGAATGAAAAAAAGAAATTAAGAAATTTTATAACTCTTGAAAAATCAAAATAAATATTACTTCGCTGTGATGCAGAGTCATTTTAAATTTTTCAAAATAAAGCCAATTTTTAGCTTCTTCAACATCCAAATCATGATAGTAGTCTCTAGCTGAATATCCAAATGAATGAAATGTCCCTTCGGGTGATAGAAGTAAGGTTGTTGGCGTTTTTTGATTGAATACTCCTGGGTCACCTCCTATAAAATTAGCAAACCATTGCTTTTCTGAATTGTTTTATTCAAAATTATCAAGATTGTTTGATGCACGATAAATTAGAAAAAGTATAAATGAATCTTTAAAAGTTCATAACTTATGCTTATCTTTTTTATTCTAGCTCTATTTTACAATCTTCGACCCTTATTATAATTTATGATATCAAATAATATTTTTTTTAAAAAAAACGTTCTTTTAATTATAAGAGCTTAATGGTTTTTTTTATTAAGCTGATTTTTATTTTTTGACTTCTATTGAATTCTCATAACTAGAATGTCCCTTGGAAACTTTATTTTTGCATTCGAAACTATTTCAAAGTGATAAAATTTAATAGAAAGCTGCTGACATATTATCAAAACTATTGAATGTTTAATTAAAAAATCACCTTTCTGTAATTTTTTTTTCAAAAATTACTCAACCAATTCTTATTTTTTTCGTTTTTAATTATTTAAAACCGTATTCTTTTCTGCAAAAATGTTGATCATGCTAATACAATTATTATTTTTTTTCCTGGACAAATATCAAAATTACGTTGCCGATGAAAATTGTTCGAAGCTTTAGCCTTGAGCTTTTTTGGAGTCTTCATGCAAAACATAAAGTTTAATAATAAGGAGAAATAATTAAAATAAACGATCGAATACAAAACGATCGTAATACCAATTGCTAAGTGTTGCTTACAAATAAAAGCATATTAATATTTATCTTAAAATTTTGAAAAAATTTGAATATAAAAAAAAACATTTTGAGATAATATCAAAATCCGAATTGAGCAACAACAAAATAAAAAAACCTTAAAAAATTTTTTAATTGATTATTTTAATTTTTTTTAATTTTATAACTTTAATTATTTATTTTAATTGTTTTTATCAATTTTTTAATTTAAAAAAAATTGTTAATTAGTATACTCGTTTGGAATAATTATTGTAGACCGAGTTTTTTCAATTAAAATATTGGCCATATATATAGATAAATAATTGTAGTTTTTTAAGTTTTAAAATAAAATAAATTTTAATATCCTATTACATACCATCCCATTTTTTCATCATATGAATGTTATCTGGATCTCGTGTAAAACAGAAAGCATAACCGCTATACGTCGTTCCAAAATCGATGGCCACTACCACAAAATATGATTGACTATGAGAACTCATACCAGAATCTACAGAACATGGACTTGTTCGATTACAAGGAGATATATCTTGCATTGGTGGAGAGTGATCCACATGGAATGTTGAGCTTGTATCATCTGAAATTTCAATTCAGAGTTAGTTTATTTAATTAGAATGATGTTTAATTTTAACACTTATTTTTACTTAGTACAAAAATTTATCTACCACTGAATAATTTATGTATCTTACAGAAAAAATCCGAAATATGGAGAATGTTAATCGTTTCAGTGTTAGCTATCGACATTCCCTCAGTTGCTTTGGTGAATGTCAGAATTATTTCTTATCAACTATTATTTCCCCCTTATATTGCTCTCCCATTAGGAAAAACTAATAATGGAGAATACCATGAATAGCCCTTAACCCTAAAAAAACATCATTGTAAGGAATTTCGGGAAATGGCATTTAGCCTTAAGAGAACATCGGTGTAGGGAATTCCGAGCAATACACTAATTAATGATTTATAACAAACATTCGAGACATTCACGAAAGCGACTATGCGAATCTTGAGATTCATGAGAGATGCTCAGCATTCAATGATCGATTTTTCAATGTCACATATATTGAGAAAAAAATGGTTTCTTTTGCGGGAAAGCTGACTTATAACAGAATGCAGGGTCATCAATTGAAAATTTAATGTTACCAAGCAGGTGTATACTCATAAATAGCAAATTTGTTTTCATTTGAATTAACCAAATATCTATATATTTATAAAACTTTAAGATATAATTGTGTTTATTTTATGACTGCTATTTCATTATATTTGTATGTAGGAAATAAGTGAGCTATAAAACTAATCACGATGTTTCGCACTATGAGAGTAATTTTGAGTAAATTAGAGTAAAATTTATCTTCCTAAAGTTTTTCATTTTCATTAAGTATCAAAATTGAAAATAAATATTCTTCCATGATTGTATAATTAATAATTTTAATTATTAACTATTCGAAAAATTCATTAAAAAAAGGAATGAGAGAAAATTGCACGGTTCTACTTTTGAAACCAGGTATTATCTTACCAGGCTTAAAAATATTTTCCAAGTTCGTGAACAGATGGTGCTGCTGACTTTGAATAACTATGAATCATTATTATCTACTGCTTGTTTGACCATTCCAACTTAAAATATTTGCTCAGATGGTTTAGTTTTATCCTCAGACTGCGCCATTTTGTTATTACAAATGATGGTTATTTTAAAAATATTATTCCATACCCATTTCGATACTCCAGCACACTCTTTTAATGAACTTTGAAATTAATTAAAAATTTTTTGTTTCGATTTAATTGATTTTTTGAATCGTTGGTCATCTTTAAGACACTAATTATGAGGAACATTTGTTATTAACTTCTCCACTGAAATAAGAATCTTTTGGATTTGAAGGGGAAAGCGGAATTTTATGAAAGATAGATTGAATACATGACAATAGTTCGTTATTTGATTGTTTTTTTAAACAATTTAAATTTAAAGAAAAAATTGTACCTGGTAATTTTTTGATGTATGTATTACCTGATGCTATTGATACAGGAGGAGAAAATGAATCATCTTTCCCTTCTGGTAAATTAACTTTCTTCGTGTCTTCTATTTGTTCACAAAAATCAGATTCATAAGCATCTGAAGACAATTCATCTCTATTGTAACCGTTCACATCATATGATCTTTTAGACCAATGTTCAGTAGTTTTCGTACGCTCTTCATCTGATTGAGAATTATTTATATTTGATTCTATGCTTGAAAATGATTTATTTTCTAATATTTGCTCAGTAGTTAAATTAGATATAGTCACGGCTATGTTTCCTCTGGAAAATGGATTTTGAGAATTTTTAGAGGACAATGATGTAACACTTTTGCTTATGTCTTCAAGCATGAGTTCCTCTATCAAGTTATCACATTGAATTTTATCCTCTTTGTTGACTTTCTGTTGTGGATTTGGTTTTTGATATGACGGTGTTGATTCTATTGAAGTAGTGAAAGTATCTGATTCTACAGAGTCATCTGATTCATCCATTAGGGATTTATCAAGAATCCTTATAGCGTCAATGACATCCGGATCTTTTATACTCATTTTCTCAATTAATTTACTGTTTTGAATTTCTTCGAGCAGTTTGTCAGGATATATTTTAGAATCTTCTATGGGAGAAATGCTTTGCTCACAACTTCGAGAGACTTGTCTGTTATTACCATTAACGGGAGTTACATACTTTTCAATTTGATTTGATGTCAATTTATTTTTTTCTAATGTATCGGTTACTTTATTTTTCTTTTCTTTGGTATTAGGTCTTCTTTTTATAGTTCCAGTGTCATTTGAGTCCAAATTTTCTTCTAAAGATAGCATTGTATGACAAAAGTCGTGAAATCCTGCCACAATAACTTCTTCTGGTGCATCTAGCTTCACGTTATAACATTCATTAATAGGATTGCTTTGCAAATCCGTTAGTGATGAGTTCAAGTGGTTCTCTCCAAAATCTAGAGAATCGTATTGTACTTCTAAACAATTAACTATAATGTCCGCTTTTTCACAGATGTTATCATATACTTCACATTTTTCACCAGTTTCTTTATTGCAAACTACATTTACTGGTAGGGAAGATGAAACTGCTATATCTTGATCCCCATTAAGAGATTGGTTAGGACGAGATATTTTATTATTGGTGCCATTTATTGGAATAATTTGTTCGTTGCCTAAAATTGAATCTTCTTTTGCAAAGTTCAAGTTCGATTTATTATTTTCGTTATATTTTTCCGATTCTTTATGTATCGTGTCAATGTGAGATGGGTACTCTTTTGATTTGATTCTTTCAGAAAGATAAATATTTTCTTGAACACTTGTTTGCTTCTTATTTTTCCTGATCTTAGAGACTGTTGCATAAATAATAGTATCATTTGGATCCGAGGAAAAGGTAGATACCAAGGAATTTTCGGGTGGTTTGACTGAGTCTATTAGTTTTTCATTGCTTTCAAATTCCACTATTGTTTTTATTTTATAATCATCACAGCTTTTATCGTTTACGTTGTTATCATGGTTGTTAAGATTTAACTTGTTGCGTAATCTCACCTCCGAATCCCCATTTGTTAAATTCTTGTCTATGCTGTTAATTTGGTTTTGGCATAATTTTTTATGATCTCCAGTGTCTGAAATATCAGTATTTATGTTCGTTGAATTGCTATTTAGACTCTTTGTCAGTGGTTGAGAATAACTGTTTTGATGCCCGTGTTCTGTATTTCTAATAGATTTTGTCGTTTTATTATCACAATATATTTTATCACATAGTAATGTTGATTGATTTCCTACATCAAGACTAATTTCACACGTTTTTGTTTCAGAAACCTGAATATTATTTACAGATACTGAATTGTCAATGTTGTTTGCATATAATACTTTTACTTGGTTTGCAATAGTTTGTTCTTGATTTAATTCAAATTTGTTTGTATAACTTTGCACATTTATATGAGAGTAATTATTATTCATAGATAAGCTTTCTTGTTTTATTGAGCTGACTTCACCAGGAATCGATATATTATTTATTCCTTCAGAGTTTTGTACATTCAGTGCTGTTTTTTCCGAAACAATTATCACTGTTTTCTCAACAACAAATGAGTCGATATTTCCGTTTGAAAGTTTGAAACTGCTTGTTTCAGTTGTTGGATTATCAGTATTAATCTTGATCACAGGGCTATTGGATTCTACAATTAAAGACGAAACATGATTTTCAGATTTCGAGGATGATAAGATATTTGATTCAGCATTTGAAGAGGGTTCAACTACTGCTGGTTGTAGACTTGTTGCGATAGCGCTTTGTAAAGGTATAACTCGCTGATTAAGTTGAGTTTGTAGAAGCTCTGAATGTGATACCCACTTAGTTAAACAACAATTTCGTTTCTTCTGGTTTTTAGAGTCTTTCTTAGTGTTGTAGGTCGGTTGTATCTGTGTAGTTTGTGGTTTTAAAATTGTGTTATTCTTTGCTGCTGCTGCTGTTAAATCCTTTTCCGAAATACTTAACACTGGGCAAGAATTTCTTCGTTCCAAAGGAGATCGAAATAGTTTAAAGAAGCGTCCTACAGGAGAGAGTTTGGCTCCTGGTATCACAGAGAATTTACGATGATAAAAACGTTTTTGTTCTATTGACGATTTCTTGTTCCCATTTAGATTATCTGCAATATTTAAAAGAATATAAGTGAAAAACTAATCTTTCAGTTATATTGAATTTATTATACAAGTATTAATGAAACATTTTCTAAACAATATGTATAATGCAATGAAATGAAATTATATGTAGTTCAAATAAATTAGCTAGTACTCATAGTTTGTTTTACATGATTAGATATACAATTTTATCGATTACTGCTAGTTATTAGCAACAACAACAAAAAAGATATTGTGTAAATGTAAGTCATTTTAAAAAATTAATTAATTTTTTGATGAGCATAAAATAGCTAAAAAATTGTATATGTACTTACTGTTTTAGTTTTTGAAATGTGTTTAAGAAAAAAAAAGATTTTGAAAGGAATGGAGAAAATTTTTTGCTTAAAATATAATGCAAAGGAATAGCTATATTAACTGAATCGCCCAAGCAGTTTAAGAATATTCAAATAGGAATGAAGTTCTTTAGAATTTTGTATTAAAAGTAAAAATATAAGTATAAAAAATCTTTTTTCTAATCACGAAAACATAAAATAAGTATTAATAATACGAAATAATTAATATAATTAAATCATTATTAATAATACACTGTGTTCTACATGCTAAAATACGTCTTTTAAGCGCCGTGTTGTAATATTGAATATGATTAACAATGTACTCTACATTAGGCATGAAAACTAATTACTTTATAACTGTGTAAAATGCAAAATTATAGATTCGTCAATAAATCATTTTGTGTTTCAATAGAATAAAAAAATAACCCGAATATGTAAAGCAGAAAGTAATTTTATAAACAGTAAGAAAGTGAAAAATTTATTAAGTTACATGGTATTTATATTTGTAACTTTTAAACTTTTTCTCTTTTTATTATTTAAACTTTTATTCGATTTGAAGGAAAGCTTTTAAACTTCGAAGACAAATGCTTGATGAAATATAAGTTTCAACAAACAGAGCATCTTAAAATTTACATAATAAGTAAGAAAACGCGAATTTTTCATTAAAAACTGCGAATTTGTTATTCATCCATAATGTTGACCGTATAGGTTATTAAATGGCTTTCTCGGTGTTGTTCAAACATGAATTACTCTATTGAAATTCTCAATGACCGTTTTGCCTAAATGGGTCTGAATTTCGAGTGTACATCCCTCTAATTTCTACTTCAAAGCATGTGTTGTTATGGACATGTTGGCATAAACTTTATAATTTTTAATAAAAAACTGAGACAAATGCTATAATTCAACTGACCAATGTCCAATTCTGATCAGGGAACAATTCTCAAAATATTACTCTACAGCAAAAATGCTTTGTCATGCTGTGCAGTACTTCTTGAAATTTAATGGTCAGCATTAAGCAGTGTATTAATTACGATAGCTAGCATTTTATTGCACGAATAGTGCAAAATTAAATATTACACTTATTTTGAAACACCCGTTACTAAAATTATAAAACATACTTCGTTGACCAAACGACGTAGCTAAATACTATTTTCTGTTAAAGATATAAAGTTGCACTATTTGTCTTTAAATCTGCTAGAATGATATACTTATTTGAATTTTATCATATTTTATTTGATTTTTCTAATGAACTTTTTCAAATTTTGTAAAAATGCAGGCATTAAAAATAAGTAATACTTCCAAGAATTTAAAGGAAAACTAAATATAAATTTCATTTAAACAACACCAGCCTTTGCATAAACATAAGCAACCGTAATCTTAAAGATAAAGCTAAGTTCCTAATGAGTGTTTTAAGCAAAAAAAAATTAAATCCTTCCTTTTTTTCAATTATTAATGATGCGTTGAAAAATAAAGTGTTACCAGTAATGCTTAAAATTAAAAAAAAAACTAATTATAAAAAAACTAAATTTATTTTATTAAAAAAAAATATTTTCTCACAGCAACTAAATTATCATTAACTTAAAATAATATTAACCTTCCGAATTAGCCTTTTTTTAAAAGAAAAATTCCTGTCTGGTTTGTTTTATCTTAATCAGTAAGGATGCGTTGAAAACAATTAAAGTGTTCCGGGTAGTGCCGAAAATTTAACTTAATATATCTAACTTTGTAGTATTCAAACAAAGTCATTCCTTACAACAACATAAACACATCTAACTTAATTTTATTAACAACAAAGTCATTCCTTACAACATAAGCTACCGTAAACTTAAAGTGACATTAAATTCCAAATGAGTTTTTGTTTAAAACGAAAAGCTCTTGTAACTTAATATTACGGCTCATTGAGCTTAAGCTGAAAGATTTTCTTTTTTGTCTCATCTTGAAGAAAGTAGCTTCACCCAACAATCATTTCCGTGTTCGATTTTTTTTTTAATTTCGCAAAAGTTAAATGCTCTGTACTTACTGTTGATATTTATTTTGTGAAGTAAAAACCGTTTTCTTCCGTAGATTTATTCTGGTTGAGTGGCTTTTACCCAGCAGTGAACTTTTCCGCATTTTTTGAGCATCCGAGGTAATTGGTTGGTGTCACACGCCATTAAGAGCAAAATCCCAGATGATGCGTGTGACCTTCGTTTGATGCTGTTAGTCGTTCACGATTTTAATTTTGTCCGTAGTGATTTACTTTGTAATCAAAATAACTCTATCATTTAAATTTTTTTTTGCGATAAAAAAGACAACTCAGTAAATAAATGTTAAAATAGTTAAGTTTTGATACTGTCATTTAAGAGAAAATGAATGAAATGAATCGTTTTATTTTAATAAATTATTAATACGAAAAATATTGAGATCGACAAAAAATGAATTCATATATTTTACAAGGAGAAAAAAAGTTTGATCAAAACTACCAAAATATGATGAAATTTACCGTGTTTTTGTCTTTATGAGAACACCAAAAAGTTCAGTAATTTTTACCGAAGCACTTTAGTAATGATTTTGTTAAGATTAACAATAAAATATAGTTTTGTAATAAATGATAAAATTTTGTAAAATGTGATAATTTTTAGAGCATAGCATAGAAAACTTAGAGCATAACATAAAAACCATTTATTTGGTTAAATTTGATTTTCAATTTTATATTTTTTACCAAATGTGTGGTAGGAAAAGGAATAATTTTAACAACCAGAATTTCTAGTAAACCGTTACCATTATGAACAGAAAAATTACTAAATGAATGGTTTAAAGGCAGTATATTTTGATTTTGTTAACCAGAGTTTCTTTAATGTTAATATAGAGTTTCATATTGCTTGATTTTCGGGCATTGTGTTTCATACATTGTAAGTCCTTTGAAGGCTTTAAACCTTATTGCTAATATGAAAATTCGCATGAGAGCTAATCACTTTTAAAGTTACAATAATCCTCTATGTAATTCTACAGAAATTTTTTAAAATGTAAAAAACTGTGTCTGTTCCATTATTGTAGGTCAGTGTATTTGATCAGTCTAATGTGTAGTTATTTTCCTAAAATTTTAACCGATTTCACCTCATCTACATTTTTGTATAATTAGTGCTACAGTTATTAGGAATTTATTTTCAAATTTCATTTTCAACACCAAACAAATTGCTTGTTATATCGTTAAAACAAAACAATAAACATGCGACTCCAAGTACCAAGCGTCAAATTTGTAAAAATTGCGAAAAGAATTGATAAATTCAAGACTTTTTCGTTATGAGACATTTTGAGGTGGTTAACTAATATGCGAATAATATTTTCTTTTACTTACGTGGCGGCTAACGGGTGAAATGGTTTTAGATTCAAAACTATAGTTTCTCCCATTTTTAAAAACTGTGATCAGCTAGATATTTGAAAAGCCTTATATGTATTCATCTTACTAAACTACTAACTAATTAAACGTTTTCAAATAACGCGCATTTTTAAATAATTAGTGCAACGATTATAAGGAATTTGCATTCAAATTTTATTTAAAAACATTTTTTTATTATACCGTTAAAACAAAACAATAAACATGCGACTCCAAGTGGCAAGCATCGAATTTGAAAAAAGTAAGAAAAATAATTAGTAAATTCAAGACTTTTTCGTTATGAGACGTCTTGACGTAGTTAACTGATATGCAAATAATATTTTCTTTTGTTTACTTGAGTACTCTGAGAAGAGAAGTAAAAATGGGGCAAAGAACGGACTGACCAGAAATATGCATTTTCTTGTGCCTCAATTTAAACTGGTATTATAAATAAGGAAAAGATAAAAAAGAGAGATTTGCATGAATTCTTAAGGAAATTGGGAAGGAATATATATAATCTTAGGAAGAAAAGAAGGGAAACCTGTTCGCATAAACTTGTTTGTGAATCTTGTTAAGGAAGATTACCTTCAAAAGTGTGGGAGAAAAATTGAATCTGATTCAGCTTTCTTTCTGCTTTTTAACGAATTTTTCTTACGGAATTTTGTTAATGGTTTGACAAAATTAAAGAAAATAATTATGTGTTTGCACGGGGTAAAAATTTGTTAAAATTACCGTACTGTACGGTAATAACATTTTGCAGAAAAAAAACATAAATCTGGTTAATAAAACCAAAATTTCTACCATTCATTTGGTAATTTTTTTGTTCATATCGTAATGGTTTGACGAAAATTTTGGTTTTTAAAATTATAGTTCTTAATACCACACATTTAGTAAGAAATACAATACTAAAAAGTAAATTTCACAGAATAAATTATTTTTATGCCAGTCTGTAAAGAATCATGATAGCATGACCAAATTTTAAAACCATATTTAATTAATGATTTTTATCAAAATCATTACCAAAGCTCTTTGCTAAAAATTATCGAGTCTTTTGGTGTTCCTGCAGAGCTAGAAGCTCATTAAATTTTTTATCATACAGTTTGATTTTCTTTTGTTCTAGTTTTAATTTTCTTTTCGGATATTTCTCCGTTATAAACTAATAAAGTTTGAACTTTGTCACATTTGATGATGATCTGTCATTTTTGAGAGTTCTGTGTCATTTTTGATATGTTTTTTAAATTGTGTGCACGTCAATAGACTCAATAAGAAATGCATATATTTTCAAATTCAACTATATTTGTTTCGAAGCTATTTTGATATA